CCTGGTGCTGTTCACCAGCCTGCAAGGCATTTCAGGCTCACCTTGCTGCCTGTGCCAGGGAGAAGAGGCCAATCCAAACCCCACCGGTGCGGGCTGGCTTGCCTCTGCAGGGTTTTTGGGGGGGGGCACATGTGCTTCTGGGCTCAGTTTTGGGAGACACGGAGTGTTTGGGTGGGCAGGTCTGGCCCCAAGCAGCAGAGACAGGGGGAGCAGCATGGAGGACGAAGGGAGTGATGCTCTGAGACAAGCAAGGCTGAGTCAAATTCACAGCTTGGACACAACACCTCCAGGGACAGCAGCTCAACCTCCCAAGTTTATGTTCAAGGCAATGTTTTTAAGTACCGATACTTTAAAGTTTAGTTCTTTAATGCAACACTGTCAGCTTTTGTTATTCCACTTGCCAAGTTTTACAGCTTCACATGGATTTTCCATTAAAATCAAAACTGCTTGTTCTGCCTAGCAGTGTCCCTAACAGGCACCGCTTTGGGGCATTTGCCATGTGTTTAGCATATTTATTTATGCACCCAGCCATGCTCTCTAATATTAAGCAGGATCAGATGTTTTAATTAAATGGAAAAACCAAATCTAAATGAGGGAAAGGCAGGAGGAAAGGGAAGACTGACTGACACATCTGGCTTATAATTACCTTAAAATTATGGAAGCTCCTGTCTTCAGATCCCGGAGCTGTATGACAGATAATGCTGCCCAACTATACAGCAGAGTTTTCTCCCTCTGGAGGGTAATGGGAGTCATGGTGCAAGTGTTGAACCAGGTGTCCATTTAGAAACAGTTTAATATTTGGGGGCATTTCACATGGTATCAGGTTGGACCAAGGCTGTGCTAAATCCTTCAGCACTCCCAGTAAAGGCTGCAGTCACATCCTCTGTCTAATGACCACACTGCAGAGAAATTTGTTTCCCTAATAAGACAGACATGGCAAAGTCACTTTGAGAACTCTTCACAAACATTGCAAGCAATTAAAAAAAAAAAAAATCAAATTATATCAAGTTTTCAGCTTCCAAACTCCCCAAGTCTGAGAAAAACAAAGGACAGTCCTACACGGAGTTAGAGCAATGGCAAGAGCGAGCTAGGCTTTTGAATGTCCTGAAGCCTTTAAGAACTGGAAAGTCTCAACAGTTTCTATTTTCAGGAGGTAGAGGGGAAGTCATTCATGGCTTAATTTTGACAGAGACTTGGCATTAAAAGTAGCATTAGATACCAGGAACTCCCAGCCCTCATTCCTGTCCTCAGCTTTTCCAAGGAGATGATCCCAAGCTGCTATAAAGCAGTTGCAACACCATTAATTTTACAGGATCTGAACCAGCACAAAATGACCAAATCTTGCTTTTTCCTGACCTGAACCACAGAAGGCATTTCAGTAATTAAATGCTAAAGACAGACCAAGTATGCTTTGTGCTGTCAGCAATAAGTTTAACACCATCACATACCACAAATAAAATATTAGTGTTGAAAAGCAAGCCAAATCAGCATATAAACCCAAGCCAACAAATTTTATTTATTTATTTAACCAGCAAGCTACCCACAAAGCAAAGTAACCAGCTACTCTGCCAAATGATTTAGCAATCACAAAACCTCTACCTCTGTGCTCCACAGTAAAAGAGCACAGGATACCAACTGGCAATAGAAACAGCATTTTACATGTTATGCTTCATGGTGTGTTGATGCTACCAGCTGCCAAAAATTAGCTATGTAATACAGCATTACCTTGACAAACCAAACCTTAAGAGCTTAGAAATCCAGTTACACTGTCCCATACCTCAGCATCGCACCCAGAGGGAAGGGAGGAAACACAGACCTTGTGACAACAGTTTTCACAGTCTTTCAGGGCTCACATCACCCCACAGCAACAATAGCCAGCAGCGCAGAGCCCTAAGGGTTATCTCCAATCCGCACACCCATCCTCCCTCCACTGGGGACACAAACCACTGCAGCACCAAAAAAAACCCCCAAAACCCCAAACAAACAAAAAAAAGCCCCAAAACCACCATTACCACAAAACAGCAGCATTCCCCTCACCCTACTACTACTACTACTACTACTACTACTACTACTACTACTACTACTACTACTACTACTACTACTACTACTACTACTACACCCCAACTCCCCCAGGGCCTGGCATATGGGAAACAGCCTAAATAGCTGCAGTTAGGGCTGGGCGGGGCAGGGCTGCCCAGGCACAGCTGGGCACAGCTGGGCCATCGCCACCCAGGGGTTCCCAGAGCACTAAACAAACCAGCACCGTGCTCGGCGAGTAATTCCCAAGCTGCCGAGTTGGAGAACCCAGCTCTGGTTTTGCTGAAACACGTCCAGCCTGGCAATACTAGTGATGTGTCAAAATGTTCAAGGAACCAATGCAAGAAAATTACTTTATTTTTAAATCCATCTGCTTGAAAAAATTCCTTCCTGTGATAATCTCTCTAAAGAAAATGAATTTCTATTTTCCAAGGATCATTTTTCTTTTGTGAATTAGCTTCACTTCCCTCTAAGCACCTTTGCAGAAGTATTCTCCCCACAGCTAAACTTAGGTAAATCTGGAGTAAAAGCTCTAACTTTGAGGGAATTGCTCCCAAGTCAAACTGGTGCCAGTGAAAGCCGAGTCTGTCCCCAAAACCTTTTAAATGTTTCTTTCTCTCTGCAGAATCTGCCCTTTCATCTCTGCCTTCATCTCAGCTTTTCATTGCTTTGTAGGTTTTTTGCACTGCCCTCTATTAATCTTCCAGAAAATCAGCTGTCTGATCACAAACATAGAAAATTACATTACTCGCTGAAATACCTTCCTATCTCTAACTCCAGCACCTCAGCCAGGCACTTTCCTGTGATGGGTACTTTATATCCATAGGGTCTCTTATAAGGATGAATGTCTTTTAATTAGATACAAACTGCGCTGATTTATGGTTATTAGAGGTGATCTGCAAACCTTTATTCAGCAAATAACGGCCTTCTTACAGGCAACTTAATTGTAATATCACAGCCAGCGAGCCAGAGCAGGCTCTGCAAGCAGCGAAGCCTGTGTCAAGCAGACAAGTGCTAGAAAGAAGCCTGTGTCGATGCATTTCTTTTGTTTGCTGCTGTTGTCTTTCTCCAGTAGAGAAAGGAAAGAATGCTGGAAATGGATGTGTGGCTTTATTTCTTATTGACATCATTCCACAGCCAGTAGGGGAAAAACAAAGTCTTAACGTTGCAAAACAAAAGTGAAATTGTGTATACACACCTATATTTGTATATGTATGCAATGAAAATATTTTGCAATCACACACCATGTGGGAAGACACATTAAAGGCTCAAAAAAGAGTGGGAAGGGAAGATCAGGAGAAGAGACAGGCGAGCAGGTGCCCGAGCTCCCAGCCCCGTGCTCAGCCGAGGCAGGAGAGGTGCAAGACCATTTCAGCTATAGTCTCATCTGTATTTTCTGCCACGGAATTTACAGTGCATTTGTCCTTTGACTGGGGGTGCTTCTGTCGTCCATCGCCTTTCCTCTGGCTCACACCACACCTTTGCATAAAGTCTGCAACTGCTGGTGCCCTTTCAGCTCACTTTTCCCCATCAGCTTTTCCTTTCCCATGAATTTTTCCAGGCTCTGTGCAGATGAGGGATGGGGCAAATACTGATGACGCGAGGCAGAGCCCGCTCTGCGGATGAGCAGCATCCCGCTCCCCACCTTCGGGGTGGTTTTCTGTCAGGTGGAGTAAAACAACAGCGTTTAGCTGAGGACTAAGCAGGCAGAATCAGGCTTTTGCCATGTCCCAGGGACAATCTCCGTCCCCTTCCTACACAGGAGGAAAGGGACAGCTGATCAAAACACGACGTGGAGCCAGTAAATGATGTTTCCACCGACTTTGCTGCGGGGCTGAGACCCAGCCTCACAAAGCCGCTGGATGTCTGACTCCTGCTGCACAAGCCGCTCTGGGGGACCCGCACCCCCTCGTCCCCCCCTGCACAGGCTCTCAGGACAGAGGCTTCTCCTGTTGGGCCCGGAGAAGCCAAGGGTAGAGATTTGGGGGGGTCAGACCAGTAGGGACAGTGCAAACTGGGGGCAGAGCATCCCCAGCCCTGACACGCTGCAGAAGAGGGGACACGGGGGACGAGGGTGGAAGCGCAGGAGGATTCTCAGCCTTTGGCTCTCGCCCAGAAATCACGTTTGGTAAAAGCCCCTGGCAAAGCCCATGGATAGCAGCTCCCGAGAGAACGGCAGGAGGGGAACCGGCTCTCACCTGCCCGTTGCGGCGTCCGGCAGCGCTCGGCGCAGCGCGGCGGCAGAGCCGGCGTGGTGGAGCCAGGAGGCTGGGGCCAGCCAGGGAGGGGAGCTGCCAGGCTATAAAACCCCGACCCGGGCGGACGGCGTTCACACACAAACGGAGACCAAGAGCCATCACCAGCAGACGGTCGCTCCGCTTCCCGCAGAGACACGGGCGCTTGGACACTGCTCGCCTGACTTCTGCTATTCTTGGAACGAGAAGGCCAAAGAGATGCAGCCTCTGTAGCGTTTTCCTGTTACTTTTACTGCACTAAAAAGAAGCAACAAAGATGACTCCCCTTTCCCCTTCAATTTACCAGCGCAGGGCGTAGAGGGGGCACACAAGATGAGCAGTCCAGGGGGAAACAGGGATTTGGGAATGGCTAGTGCAGATGAGAAAAAGATCGAGGACTGAGCCGGGAGCTCTTGCACCTCTTCACTTATCAGGAATATTTGCATGGAGCAGCCCAGCCAGAGAGGGGAATCGCAGCCTCGCGGCACAGGATTAGCGTGATGTTGAGGAGCACAAGGCAGAGGAGGTGACAACCTGCACCGGTGTTGGGGACCGCTGGAGGAGGCATGTCCAGCCCCCCCGCAGCCGGGGGCAGAGGAGCTGGCGCAGCAGTGCTCAGGGGCAGCACTGGCCCCGACAGCTCAGCCCTGGGGAGGCAGGGAAGGGTTTAACAGGCCATCGGAGACGAGCGTTATAGCTGCCTGTGCTCCTGCAGAGCTTCCTGAAGGGATGGAGCCAGGATGGGGCTGGAACAGCACTCATCGCAGCCGGTCTGGGCACAGCCAGGAGCTGCTGAGCCCCCAGACCCTGGCAGGGGACCCCAACCTGACCCTTTTGCACACCCGGGATGAGGAGCTGGCCAAGGCAGAGATCGGGGTGCTGGCCACCATCCTGACCGTAGCGACCGTAGGCAACGTGGGGGTGCTGCTGGCGATGTACCGCCTGAGGAAGAAGATGAGCCGGATGCATCTCTTCATCCTGCACCTGGGGCTGACCGACCTGGGCGTTGCGCTCTTCCAGGTGCTGCCGCAGATGATCTGGGAGGTGACGTACCGCTTCCTGGGCCCGGACCCTCTCTGCAGGGCGGTCAAGTACCTGCAGGTGCTGAGCATGTTCGCCTCCACCTACATGCTCATCATGATGACGCTGGACCGCTACATGGCCGTGTGCCACCCGCTGCGCACCCTGCAGCAGCCCAGCCGCCAGGCCTATGTGATGATCGGGGCTACGTGGCTGCTCAGCTGCCTGCTCAGCCTGCCCCAGATCTTCATCTTCTCCCTGCGGGAGGTGCGCCAGGGCTCGGGGGTGCTGGACTGCTGGGCAGACTTCAGGTACCCATGGGGAGCCCGAGCCTACATCACCTGGACCACACTGTGCATCTTCATCCTGCCCGTCAGCATCCTCACCGTCTGCTACAGCCTCATCTGCTATGAGATCTGCAAGAACCTCAAGGGCAAGACCCAGAGCGGTGCCCCCAGCTCGGGGGGGCCCACAGCAGCTGCCCCTCCTGCTCCCTGCTCCTCCGAGAAGAGTGGGCAATGCCCCAGCGGGCAGCCCTCACGGGTAAGCAGCGTGCGGACCATCTCCCGTGCCAAGATCCGCACGGTGAAGATGACCTTTGTCATTGTGGTGGCCTACGTCGCCTGCTGGGCACCGTTTTTTAGCATGCAGATGTGGTCGGTGTGGGACGAGGATGCTCCTGATGATGGTGAGTAGCGGTGGGGATCCCGGGCTGCAGCTCGCAGCAGGCAGAGCCCTGGGCACCCAACGCACACAACACACCCATTGCATTTTTAACAGACAAGAGCTGTCTTATTTTGTCATTTTAAAAATCATGGGGATGGCTACAGATTTGCTCCCCGGTAGTATTTATAGAAAACAGTTTGCAGAGTCAAATCATTTCTTTCACCAGAACACCCACTGAAAAGCAATGGATTCTGCCCATCACCTGTAGGGACGGGTAAAGGTGTGGGAATATCTTTGCCGTGTGTGTTTCTCCCCTCATGTGGGAATTTGCTTCAGGAGCTGCTGTGTTTGCTACGTGACTGCAGGGAGGGTTTGAATTGTGCCTGCTGCTCCCACCCTCCCACGGCCTCACGGAGCAGCCGTGCTGCTGGAGCAGGTCCTTCGTGTGGAACACCAAGTGCCCGTAAGGCTTTTGCTGAGCCAGCTCCAGAGGTTTCAGAAGTGGATTTCTGGTTTCATAGGTTAACTTTTTCTGGAAGTTTTCAGTAGCTCTTCTTGCCCGTTCATGAGTAGAAGGAACTTTATCCAAGATTTTGAAAGGCCTCTGGGAGATGCTTTGGCCAGCAAACAGGCTGAAGGAAGGTCCAAAAGCTGCTGGGTCTCATCTCCCAGCACTCTCCCTGAGGATGTGCTCCAGCACATCCCCATTAACAGTACATCACCCTCCTCCAACCCACAGCCAAAATTAGACCCCAGCTCTCCCTGCCATGCTGCAAACTCTCCTACCCAAAGAAATGCCCATCAGATGGGATGGCAACAGGGCAAAGGACACGTGCCCGAGCCAGAAGGAGCCCCCAGGTCCTGCCCATTGCACACTGGGACCCTGCCCAGATCATACCCAGCCTGGTAGATGTTTCATCTCTCTCTCTTGCCTTCCCAGAGTCCACCAATGTGGCTTTCACCATCACCATGCTGCTGGCCAGCCTCAGCAGCTGCTGCAACCCCTGGATTTACATGTTCTTCAGCGGGCACCTCCTCCAGGACGCAGCACGCTGCCTGTCCTGCTGGGGTGGGCCCCGGCCCGGGCTGCGGAGACAAGCGTCCACTGGGAGCCTCTGCAGCAGGAAAACCACTATCCTGAGCCACAGCCACCACACCAGCCCCACCAGCCTCCCCCTGCATGGGGGCAGCGCCAAGGACTTCTGCCCACCCTGCGAGGAGGTGGTGACCGAGTCGGGCACGCTCTAGGCTGCGGATGTCCCCAGGCACATCTCTCCATTGGAGACAGCTGCCACCAGATGTGACACCACGAACGTTGTCGCTGCAGAGCTGTCTCCCTCCCCACCTAGTAGCATCTCATTTTGCAGGAAGCTGTGTGCTTCACCCGGAAAGCATCGCTGTCCGTCTTGCCCTTGCGTGCTTGCTACTGTGCACGCTGCATCTGCTGTGAGCATCGGGGATGATAGACAGAGCCCCGTCAGCTCTTGCCTGACCACAGCATGCACCTCCCTTGTACGTTAGGAAGCTTCTCGGTGCCTGGCTGCTCTCCTCCAGGAATGCCTTACATCCCAGGTGTCTGCCAAGGGATGCTGCACCAGCACATCTTCCTGGAGGGACTCAAGGTTTGGGTGTTTAACAGATGCCAGCAAAGCAGCCTGAGCACAGCAGGAGGCAACGTGGCTACATCTGCTCGAGAGCTCCCTGCAAGCACGTTACTCATCTCCCATCCTCAGGGTTTTGCGGGCAGATCAGACACAGCTTTCCCACGCCCTGGGGCACCCCACACTCTCCCCTCTGGGCGGCATAGCGTTGCCTTCTAGCTGACAGGCAGCTCTGGAGCTGGACCCCCTGCCCACCTCCCCATGGGCAGGGATGGAGCAAAAGCCACAGGGCAGAAATGTCCTCTCCCGTTGCGCACAGCGGCATCGCACCGGGCTGGTGCAAGCATCCGAAATGCAGCGCTGACACCACCAAAGAGCTGCTGGGAGCAGCCCTGGCCCAGGTCCAGCTTGCCCAGGCAGATCCTGCCTCCCTCCGTGCCCCGACACTTCCCATCAGGTTTATTTGCAGCCCCCAGCCGCTGTGCAGGGCTGCTCCGCGCTCTTCAACAGCTGCTGCATCCCATTAAAGAGCTGCTCTCAAATTGCTGCTGCTTTTGTCTTATTTAGCAGAGATCAGAGTGCTGAAACCACCCAGGGCTCAGGGATGGCTTCAGGGAGCTTGGGAGCACAGAGGAGGGGTGGCTGGCAGCCAGGACCAAGCCATGGCCTTGCAGTCCCAGCCTGGCCCCCGTCCTTCCCCCTGCGTGTTGTGGGTCTCCCAGAAGCTGTTTGGTGTAAGAAGAAAGCACGAGTGAGGCAGGCAAGAGCATCCTTTTGCTCTGGGAGTCCAGTTCAAAAGCTAGTGATGGGGGATGTACAAGTGCCCCAGCAAGCACGAGGGTACCGGATTCCCTGCAAGAAAGGTGCGTTATTCCCTCTCTTATCGCAGGCTAACTCTGTAAAAATAAGACATTAAGAGTAAAGTGTTTTGAAATCTTAAATTATTTTCACTTTTTAATCACCAAGCATTTGAATCAGTTTTTCCAGAAACTCCCACTAGCTGCTTTTGACCTCATTTCCAGTTCCATTAGCGCACCTCTCCTGGCCTTTAGCAAAGTTTTCCAGAGATTGTTTGGGGTTTTGAACATTTTCCTTCATGTGCCCTTCAAGTTGGGCCAGATCTGCACAACAAGGTCATAAACCCAAGAGTGCCTGACGCCCCCAGGATCGATACTAAATCAATTGTCTCACAACCTTTCATTAAAGCACATCGCGGCTGAGCCGATTTGAAATGCACTCGGGGCAGCTCCATCCCTGATGGAGGGGGGCTGTGCTGGGAGGCAGCGGCTCCATCCCCCTAACAGAGCTCCCAGCTATTGCACAGTTCCCCTTTCCCAGCACATTGAATGTTATTTCTTGAAAAATCATAAGTAACAAAATGCAGAGTGATGGGAAGGAACCAGCTCCATTTGCAGCAGCAATTTGCTGCAGCAGAGCGAGGGGGGCGAGCCCCAGCCATGAGGAAGGCTGGCCGGGCACTGGCTCTCCTGGACCTCGGGAGCATGAAGGTGACCTGACAAATATAATCACTATCAAGCAGGGGAAACAGCACCTCTGAGAAGATAACAGCCTTCAAGCATATTCGGTTCACAATCCCAAGCTTATCTCTGCAAGCTGGAAGGCCCCCAACTCAGTTTTGTTAAAGAAAATTGCAGTGCTCTACTTCAAGTCCCCTGGAAATTAGACCAATACTTAAGGAAAATGTGAAACGTGGTGCCAGATCACGGGGCAGGGCAAGCAGCATGTGCCCCAGCCCAGGGCACTGACCCCCCCTCTGCAGCTCTGCTAGGTGCAGGTATTGCTCAGGCAAGGAGAGGCCGACTCCTGCACCCAGGGCATTCGGTGCAGGAACAAAGCAGGAAAAGCAAAAGCTGGGAAACAGGGAATAGTGCCCCTCCCCAAAAGACCCAGTGGGATTCCACTTGCCTACACTTACATGGAGAGCTGTGGTCCAGTCCTGTGCCCCTCACAGCCCAAGGGGACCAGCAGCCAAACCCTATTCCCTAGCTGAGGAGGGGGGATATAAATCCCCTCGGAATCCATCGGCCGTTTGCCAGCTGGGCTGACGACTGTGGCTTTCAGCTGGGGGAGGAAACTCTGGTGCGTGGTCGGGGAGGTCAAGCTGCCTGCGTGGCCACCCCAGCCCCAGTGACAGTTCTGGGAGTGATGGGGACTTGGAAAGATTTTGAGCATCAGTGGAAAAGGGCTGCAGGGGAGGGCGATGAATCAGGGCTTGTTGGGCAGCGAGGGCAAAGCTGGTGGAGGAACCGTATTTAAAAGTATTTTATGACAGCGATCAGCAAAGAAAGCATCATTCAGAGGAGCTGCCAGCCAGTTTGGGTGGATATTTTGAAGATCACTGCGTTTCCCTCCCTGAACTACATCCCATTTTGAGGGGCAGGGGGGAATGTTTCATTTGCTTTCATGAAATGAGAAAAAGGGCCGTCACAAAACTGGAGAGCACATTTCAGCCTGGGTAGGAGGAACGCTTCTCTGTGCCATCCCACGCTCAGCAGCCTTCAGGAACAGTGATGCATTTAAGTAAAATACCAAGCAAATTGTATCAGCGGGTTAGAGTGTTACAAGGAATAAAAGCTGGCAGGCTCAGCCGGTGCCAGGCGCTGACCGAGGCGAGGGGAAGGGGAAGCCCCGGTCGTGTGGCTGCCGGGGGCTTCGGGCATCTCCCCGTCCCGGCGGTGGTCTGACCCGAAACCCCGCCAGCAGCATCCCGGGTGTCACAGCTTCACCTCGGTGTACTCGGTGGACTTGGATGCCACGGGGCTGGAGCAGGTCCAGAAATCTGCTTTTCTCTTCTTTGGGTCCACGTTGACGTAGTCCGCCCCGGTCTTCATGTTCTCGTAGTCGCTGGTGGAGCCTGGCCCGCAGCCTTTCCCCGGGAAAACCAGGGAGGTGTAATTGAGCTTTTCTTCTGCACGAGGGCCCTGCAGAACCAGACAAAAACCCCCAAGTCAGGCACCGGCATCCCCCGGGGATGGATTTGCCCTTGAACCCGCACAAAGGCGTGCAGCCGCTCAAGGTGCCCGGGATGTGCCCAGGGATCTCCCTGGCCCTTGGGGATGCTTCTCTCTAAACGGGGAATGTTGTGTATGGCAGGTGACAACCACCAGCTCAGCCTCACTGCCAGTATGTCCATAGGGTTCGATGCATTCGTCCCCCTGTTGCTGTTCTGCGGATGTCAAGGCTGCTCTTGGCAAAGGCTCTCTGCCACGGCCGTACCTGCGGGCTGGAAGGGCTGCTGTCCGAGTCATCCGAGGTCTCTGAAGACGTGTCGCTGCTCCCTTAAAAAGAGGAAACATTACCACCTCCATCGCTACTTGAGGGGGGATTAAAGGAAAAAAGTAATCGGGGAGAAAAAGCGAACACCCTCGAGAGTGAAAATTGAAAATCCAAAAGGCATCAGTGTGATCTCTCCCCTCGTCATCCCTCTGCCCGTGGGGAACCGGGCAGGGCAAGCCCGGAGGAGGCAGGAGGCAAAACTGGAATTGCGAGCGGCTGTTGCGCCTGCCCTTCGCCCAGCCGCTCGCTCCCTCTTCCACCCCGAGGCCAGCAGGTGAGGGTCTTCCCAGCTGGTTAAGGAAGAGAGTACTGCACAAATGCAATACCATACGTTTCTTTTCATGTGCCAGGACAAAACCCCGTTGCTGCAGGATCCCCTTACCCATGTAGGTCGGTCTTTGTACCCCTTCCCCTCCTGCTGAAGAGGTCGGAGGCTGCCGGGGCTGCGCTGCAGGGCTGCTGCTCGCCTGCTTGCTGCAGGAATGGCTGGCTGCAACCAAGAGGTGAGTTAGCATCTTGCTCCAGCCCAAGACACCGGCTGTGTCCGACGCACCCCACACACCATGCCACACGGACCCCCACCCGCTCTCCGAGCCCCAGCACTGCCCCACAGCAAAGCCAGTTCAGTGCAAGCCGCTGGCACAGCAGTAATTATTATTATGTATTGGAGCAGGCAAATATCTATCAGTTCAATTACTGGGATGATTAAGTGCGTGCCCTGTTCTCCCATGATGAAAGACTCCAGTGTTAAATCACGGCATCAGGGCCTCTTCCTGTGCAAGTTTGAAATTAGTTTGACCCACGGGGCCAAGCAGAGCTTGTCTGTGTACAAATGTGGGCAGCAGTTTTGCATGAAAGATTTTCCTGCTGGAAATTGTAGCTTCATCCGAATTAATACTTTGCAAATGGGTTCTGATGGTATTTTTCCACCACTTTACTAATAAAAGCAATAAAAGAAAATGGCTTTGAAACAACAAAAGGCTGTATACCCCTATCTGATACTGCCCACACCACCTATAGCTGCTCACAAGGGTAGCCTCCCTTAGCCATAGCCTGGCCCCCCGGCACAGCGCAGCAATGCTGGTGGTCAGTCCCTGCCCTGACCCGTTCCCGTCCCACGCCAGTGCTCAATCCACCCAGGGGTCCGGCGGGTCCCTGGGGGGGCCCAGCTCCGGCACTCGCTCCACGTGGGCTCCGCAGCGGTGCCGGTCTCTCCCCAGAGCGGGAGCGAGAACCAGACCCAGAACAAGGTCTTGGTTGTGCTTTACAAACTGGGGGATGTTGAAGCTTTGGGCAAATTATTTTCCCCCTCTGAACTGGACAATTGCGAGTGAGAATGAGGAACACAACAGATAAAGCCAACAAGATAGTAAATTACCTATTTTCCTGCTGAGCATGATGTAAAGTGTCAGCAAGAGGAGAGCGTATAGGATCAAGGTGACAGCTGAGATGACAGCAAGCACCCACCTGAACAAGAGAAAAGTATTTTGTCTAAGTGAAAGAAATAACCAAATTATTTTAAATCTGTTTAGCTGCCATTGCTTCAAAGCATGTTTTAGACAAAGGTTTGCTGGTTGTCCTGGTTTCAGCTGGGATAGAGTTAATTTTCTTTCCAGTAGCTGGTATAGTCTTAGATTCAGTATGAGAAGAATGTTGATAACACGCTGATGTTTTCAGTTGTTGCTAAGTAGTGTTTATACTAAGTCAAGGACTTTTCAGCTTCTCATGCCCAGCCAGCAGGAAGGCTGGAGGGGCACAAGAAGTTGGGAGGGGACACAGCCAGGACAGCTGACCCAAACTGGCCAAAGGGGTATTCCATACCATGTGGTATCATGTCCAGTATATAAACTGGGGGGAGTTGGCCTGGGGGCGGATTGCTGCTCGGGAACTAACTGGGCATCGGTCAGCGAGTGGTGAGCTATTGCATTGTGCATCACTTGTTTAGTATATTCCAATTCTTTTATTATTATTATCATTATTATTTTCTTCCTTTCTGTCCTGTTAAACTGTATTTATCTCAACCCACAAGTTTTACTTTTTTTTCCCATTCTCTCTCCCACCCCACTGGTTGGGGGGAGTGAGCGAGCAGCTGCATGGTGCTTAGTTGCTGGCTGGGCTTAAACCACGACACTGGTACAGTTTTTAGTTTTGCTTTTTGTCTTTAAGGCGATGTGCTCAAAAATCTGGGCCTTCGTTTTCACAAATGACTAGTGCTCCTCACACTTCATTTTTGGGTGCCCATCTTAAGGGTTTTCAAAAGCCTCATTGCCAGCGGCGGGGGAGGTTGCGCAGTGCTTGCTCAAAGAGAGAAGTTACAAATATGGCTCCCGCCAAAATCACGAGCCCTTTCTAAGACTCTGCCAAACGCGTCCACCCAGCGAGAACACGTAATTGCCCCCCAGCACTGCAAAAAGCCGGCGCGGTGTCACCAGCGACGGGGGCTGCAGCATCCCCGTGCTCCACCGCTGCTCCCGGACCCGCGGCACAGCATCCCTGCAGCCAGAGCCCGGCCAAGCGAGGACTGAGAAACTTAGCAGAAAGGTGCCACGTAGCAGCGGTTATCCTTCCATCTTAGAGCGTTTCCCTCCCTGCAGAAGGGCTGCCCGCCGCTCTTTAGCCCGGGGTGTTGTACTCACCACTCGCAAGCGCTCATCCTCCCCACGCGGCGTCTCGGCGGTCGGCGTGACGCCCAGCGAAGCGCTGGAGGTCTTGGGAGGGGACGGAGAGAGGCAGCTAGCCCTGGTGGCAATCAACCAAAATGGTCCCATTGAGCTTCACGCTGCTCCTCATCAACTGAAGATCAGGCTCGCCACTTGAAAGCAGTGGTCTGACATTGCAGACGTAAAATAAATGTACCCGGCCTTCCCTCTGCACGAGGCTCTTACTGTATGTGCAAGTCCTTCTCGTATGCACCCCTTACACAGCCAGACTCTCCCTGCCGTTATCATCGAGCTTAATGGTTTTATACACTGTCGCCTCGGTCATATCTGATACTTGACGGGAGCTTCTGGGCTCTGCCGTGGCGCTGATAGTAACAAGAACTGAAATTTATTCTTCTTGCTTTTATCCTCTCTCACGCTTCTTCTTTTTTTTTTTTAATCCATGAGAAATATTTGATAACTATAATCTGGAAAAAACTCCCATAGAAGAAAGTAACCAAAAGAAGGCCATGGGTTTCGTGGCAGGCTCTTGCATCAGTCAAGATCCAGCCAGAAAGGTCAGAGGCCCTTCAACACCTCTGCATTTGAAACACCTCAGATTTAATTCTAGGTGAGTGCTTAAATCCTCTTGAAGTTAAGGGAACATAAGGCACGTAATCAGAAAACACATATGCCTGAACTGGGCCCCTTTGCTTGGGAATTTTGGCCATAATACTAAAGAGATTTATAATAAAGGACGGCAATCGGGGTCATTCATTTTGTGACCTTTCACTTCCAAAAAAGTACTTTAAATTTTCACTCAATGCCTATATACTTACTATTTATAAATGGCTAACATAGGGAGGTATCTTCAGCTAAAGCTTTGATACAATGATTAAAGGAACCATATAATATGATTGATAGACTGACAGATAGATTGATAGTTAGAGCAAAGGCATTACCCATCCTATGGATCAGATTCTATAATTTCCTCTATGACACATTTCTAAGAGTAATTCATTAAAAGCTTTTCCGATAACCTCGCCAATCTCCTGTGAAATTCCACTTACCCCAACAGTTTGGGAACTGCCAAGCTAGAAGTCCATTTCCTGCTGGAATTTTCCCCCCTCCCTTATTGAACTGATCTGTCCCCAAATATCCTTCTCAAATGGCTGTCATTCTTAAATGGCTCATTTCCTACAGTGGGGCAGGAGATGCTGCTGCAGCAGATAATAATCTGAAAAATGAGGTATTCAAAAGGAAATTGCAAAATAAGACCCAAATCCAAATATCAGTAGCAGGCAGCTTCTTTGCTGAGATGGGGTATGGTGAGATTGAAGAGATGATATGCATATGCGCATTGAAATATCTATTTTGAAGATAACAGCTAGCACGATGCTGGCAGCACATGTACTTTTTTGGTGTATCAATCAGGTAACTTGTTGTGAGCCTCCCTCCCACCAGCCCCCAGGATATTAACTCTTTCTCGAGCAAGATGCCCTATTGAAATCAAGACTTGTAAAGAGCTCCTACTCGGCTGGTTACCAAGTAGTGAATTCAAGACATCTACACTCAGTCAAAAGGTAAGCAAAATCCCGGGAATGCCTCAAATTATTTTAATCCCATTTGCCTCGGGCCTCAATGACCCAGGTTAAGGCTAAAGCTCAGGCTGGCAGCGATGCACGCCTGCAGACATCCCCCAGACACGGTCACCAAGCCCAGCTCTCGTCCCGATGTACAACCCCTCTGCTTTCCGAGGCATCGCGTGCAACAGCTGATGGAGCGCAATATCCAACGGTGTTTTACCTGGGGGACCAGAGGTTTCCGTACCTTCCCTTTCCTCAGGACCTGGGCAGCTGGGGCCTTGGAGGGAGCAGGAATTAAGGACGTTTCAGCAGCATTTTTGGTGGCCGTGCAGCCACAGGGGACCAGCAGTGCAGAAGCGCTCGCCGGCTCGGTGCCGGATGCGGTCTCGCTCTACCTCAATGGCGATGGCAGGAACAAGCCCACAAGAGGTTCCATGACGCTTCCCCTCTGTCAACTGGTTCATTTAAATATATTTGGTTTGTGCTTCTCTGCTGTTCTGCGGTCACTTCTGATCCAGGGCTGGGGACGCTGTATCCCCTGGGCGGTTGTCCTTGGAGGTGTCCCCCCAAAACATCTTCCAGCAGTTTTGTGCTAAAATGCAGCTGAGCGTCGTTGGAGCAAAGCCGGTCCTGAAGGGCAGTGGAGCTGGCTCAGCCCTGAGCAATTCAGCTGCCATCCAAAAAGTGGTCCGGGTGCTTCCAAGTTAAAGTCTTCTATAGTGGTAAAACATTTTAAATCGTAAGGGACATGGTCCCAGAGCCTGGCATGGCTTAGTGTCAGCTGGGGGTGAATGGGCCTCCACCTGTCCATTTTCTGGAAAAATTTTCTGGTCAGTAGTAACTTGCAGCATCACTTAATAACGGCAGGGTGCAAACAGCTCACTCTCGTTGGATCACAGCAGATTTGGGGAGCGCCGGGCCACTGCTCCGTAGGAACTGATTTTGCAGCTCTCGCACTGAAGCAGCGTTTTGGTGCTGGAGATGCCCTGCAGCGGCCCAACCTCTCCTGTGCTTCTTCCTGGGCAGGAGATGGGCAGGGAGCGAGAGATTCCCCTTCTCGTGGGGTTCCTGATTCATGGGAACGGTGCCTGCTGGCTTTTAAACATCTCCATCGCCCCCCCACTCCCATAGCAATCCTCTCCTGGGCTGATAACATCCTGGCACCTCAGTGAATCCCCCTGGACTTTCTAAAGGCAAAGAGAAGACCGACTCCTAAGAAGCACTACGTACCCCCAGCTGCCAGGCGCCGTTGGGGTTCACCCCCAGAAGCTGCATCGTGAGTTGGGGTCCCCTGGCAGGTCCCCACCTTCGCTGCCCGCATTTGCCCCCCCATCCCCTGGGACCGCGGGGACCACGCCATCCATCAGCTCCATCGCAGGGTGATTTTAGTCCTGCTTTACCCACAGCTGCTTTGCCACAGGTAAATATTTAACTGAAGCTTGCTTGTTGGTTTGTTTTTTTTTTTAAAGTGTTTCCTATTGCAGGGTTTCATTCTTTCAAGTGCTCACTGATGTATAAACAGATTAACAGGTGGAAGAAGTATTTGATAAACAGAGAAAAAAGGCTTTTCAGAAAACCCTGTTCAGGTGTGATTTGAATCAGTCAGAGCTAATCGTGGAAGTGGCTAAACTAAAGGAAATATAAAAAAAGAATACTGATAACATATTTTTAGCCTGAAAGCAGGTTTCTTAACATGAGTAAAGCGCTGTATGCTGAACCGGCAAGAGGTATGTTTTCCGCACAAGATGCATAACCTATTTCTAACATATCTGAGGACAAGTATGTAAAGCTGGATGGGGTAAGATACACTTTATGACAGCTACTGCCTTTAAGCAATACAGCACTATATATAGGCCATATATTACTTATAAGACCTGGGATGTTCCAGTAGCTGGCACTTACCTTTCATTACATTTCTACTGAATGTAAGCACTTTTTCTGCTGTTTTATTAACGAGCCCCCAGTCTTATAAATACTTCTGCATGTTTGGCTCCGTCACTCTGGGCTTTCTCCGCCACATCAGGAGGGGCCGTAAAGGCAGCGCGGATGCCCCAGGAGCAGGCAGGGACGGGCAGGGACGGGCAGGGACAGGCAGCACCGCAGCAGACCTCTGCTAAGGTGAGGAGCACCAAGTATTGAAAATGGTGCGGCTCTCCCGACTGCAAACACAGTACGGCTGAAAGTATGTGTGAAGCAAAGCCTTTTTCTCCCAATGTTCTGGACAAATATGGCCAAGTCTTGCACTGGCTCCCAAAAGAAAGAGAAAAAAAACCCATTTTGTTCGACTTTAAAGAAAACTTTTGATTTACCTTTAAGAGTTTGGGGGTTAAAATTACTTTTAAAATAACTAAATAAAAGTAGAAATAGTTTTGCTTAACTTCAAAAATTTCTAAATTAAAGGTTTGACCTCTTTATTTCTTTCATCTTCATATTTTAACGCTGAACCTACTGTCACGAGTTTGCAGATTATGATGATCCAATTGGGGATCTTTTCCACTAAATAAACTATTTTGCTTGAAGTATTCAGCTTGTCTGTACTACGGCTCTCACTCACGTTTATCTCAGAAGCCCAGTGATCCTTCAGGCTGGATTTTCTTACAGGATTTTCAGGTTATAAACCATGTCCGTAACAATCGTCTTGCTGCTTTCGGCTGATCTGGCACTTGCTGCAATTGTTTTTGTTTTAGGATTTTTTCTTTTTTAAATCCCTTCTATGAATATATGATTAGGACAAGAAGGGAGGCCGGTATATTAAACTCCATCTTAAAAAGGAAATAGATAATAACTTTGTGTAAAAGCTACTCAGTAAAGAACACTGCAGCTACTGACCTAGGCATGGGGAAATGCAGGGAATTTGCATTTGGCTTGAAAAAAAATGGCTGCATCTGCCACCAGCATCGACTCTGCCGTGCCCCGCGTCTCCGCGCTCACACTAAAGAAACCTCTGATAAGATTTTTTTAAGCTTAAGCTGCCGGCGAAGCCAAGGAGAGGAGGAGCCCAGCAGCATCTCCCAGGGATGGGGACACAAGACCCCCCTAAGAGGGAGACAGGATTCGGCTCTTTCTCGGGCCATCCCCCATTAGCCGGGGTTGCATGTGGCTGCGTTGGGCTCACGGCCCCGCTGGTACCTGTGCCTCACAGACGAGGACTTTAATTAATTAGATAAAATATACTAACCGGGATAAATGCAAAATCGATTAGCACAGTGCTAAGGGTAGAAACCCTGTTAGTTACATGAACAGCGCTCACTAGGTAAAACACCTTTCTTTGTGGCACCCCTCACCCATTACTGTAGTGCCATAAACACAGAAAACAACCTCAAGGACGACCCGGCATCATCACAAGCCTTCAGCCGCGTGTCTGAGAGATGGTGGCAGCAAGAAAATCCTCGCCTTCCCCCACTCGCCTCCCCTCCGTATCTGAAGGCTTTATTTGTTCATTAGCATTTTTTATTTGCATTCACAGAGGCTTAATGAGACGGCCATCCTGTGTTAAACAAAAATCAGCCACTGGGGAAGAGCCCATTAGTGGCTGTAAAGCAACATGTAACTGTCTCCCATGCAAAGCCGCTTCTTCCCGACCGTGCTTTGATGGCACTGACTGCTATTTAAAAGGGAAGGTTGCAGATTCCTGAGCAGTTCATCACTGCTAATTAGTCTTTGCCTTTTAAAGTTTGTTCAGCAGCTGCCCCGTGCTACGAACACATCCCTTTCCTGCACCCTCCCTGCAGCTATCGGGCCATGGGGCACCCCACGGCCACGGGCAAGTCCCCGGGGGCGGCTGCAGGGGCAAAGGCAAGGGGAAACACATCTGGGGGGGCTTCCACCGGCTCAGCTGGGCCGTGCGATTCCCAGTGCATAAGGGGCTGGTGCCGGGACGGACACCCCATTCTGCTCCCGCTGCGGGACCTTCGCTGGCCCCAAAAGCGGCCGACACAGCCCAGCGCCCAGCCAGTCCCCGTGTGCCCCCCTGCTCGGCTGCCACCAGCCACTCGCCCACAAAAGCAAACTTGACCCCGCTGCGCTGGCTCTGCCTCACCTGGGGCATGGCCAGTGATTCATTTCTACTGCCAAAGCCCTGTGTTGACATTGAAAGGGTGTTATCGCGGGTGCTGGTACACCGGTGAGGGTGTACCCGTTGGTATAAGAACAAAGCCGCAGCACTGCCCGTACCCGCAGACCCCAGCCGAGACCAGCACTGCCGCAGAGCCGCCGACATGAAGCACCTCCTCCTCCTCGCCATGCTCTGCCTTTCCTTGGCCAGCAGCTTGAAAAGGTAAGGGGGTCCCCCAGGGTGCACCCCAGCTCCCTGGGCTCTCAGAGGGACTTTGCCCCCAGGGTCCTGCCAGCACCGAGCACGGCAGTGATGAACGGGCAGAGTTGACACCCTGCGGCTGCACCGGCATGCAGGGACCACGCGGTGCTTTGCTGCTTTGCTCCCATCAGTCCGTCGGCTCCGTGGCCGTCTCCATCCCTCTGAGCAGACCCTGTCAGCAGCGGTGGGCTGCGGTGAGGTATGCAGGACAAGCAGCCAGCCGCAGCCGAGGTCTGTGCAAGCAGAACGGGCAGAAAATGCTGGCAGAAATTCACCTTGGCCCTGGTCCCCTCTCCCAGCCTGAAGGTCCTTTTCCATCAGTCGGTTGAGCTCCTGCCTGCCCCACTGCTGTGAGCAGGACTGCACTGAGGCGTGCGTGGTCTCCTGCCAGCTTTGCCCTTGACTTGCTGTCTCCTAAAACAGATCAAGTCCCCCATTTCGCTGCACCTCGGCTAGCAAGCGTTGCGGTGGGGAATGCAGGGGAGCAGGCTCTGGACCTGCATCCTGGCGGTGCTGGGACCCTCAGGGTGGACGTGGGGACTGCAGGACATCGGCAGCATCTGTGGCCATGGGTCAGTGACCAGGACCCTTGCTCCCCCAGGGTGACCCTGAAGCGGTACCCCTCCCTGAAGAAGTCGCTGCGGGACCGTGGGCAGCTCTCCCACTTCTGGAAATCCCACAGGCTGGACATGGTCCAGTACAGCGAGGACTGCACTGCCTTCACGGAGGCCAACGAGCCCCTCATCAACTACCTGGACGTAAGCGTGGTGGCATCGAGGGCTGGGGGGTACCGAGTCCCAGCAGCGTGCCGCAGACACACCAAAAGCACATTAGTTTGCATGAGCGGTCCCCAGTGCCCAAATGTTTCCCATAAAGCCCACGCCTGCTAACAGAGCATGCCTGCAGCCAGTGCCCCAGCGTGCCAGGGCTTGCTGCCTGCTCGCTCCTGCCTGGTCCTTTGTTCCCGGGAATGTGATGATGAGAGGGGACAAGGGACCACATTCATGGCAGCCCTCTCCCTGCCTGCTGCACTCCCCAAGCCTGCAGTGCTCTCGGGCAGACGGCGACAAGACAGGTTTTCTCCAAAACTAACATATTTCGCGTGCATCAGAGAAGACCCCACCACAAAGGACCCAGAGCCAGAGGTGGAGGGTGTTCCCCAGGCTCTTCCCATTCCCCACAGCATGAGGGTCCTGTCCCCAAAGCCCCTGCCACTGTCTGCATCCCGCTGATGAGGGTCCCCTGGGGGCCCAGCCTTCCCGCTGAATCCAGCGGAAAGAGGATGATGCCCACACCCGCCGTCCTGCCTTTTGTTCTCGGCTTGCCTTAAATATTTGGCTCCTTTAATTCACCTGGCATGATGTGGCCATGACAGATCAAACGCTGCCCCGGTACCAGCCATCCCCTGCACCGAACCCCATCAGTCCTCTGCAGACACCCTGGCACAGGCTCCCCTTTGCCAGGATTTCTTGCTGTGCCAACAGCTAACGGCTCCACTCTCTGCTAGATGGAGTATTTTGGGGAGATCTCCATTGGGACCCCCCCCCAGAACTTCACCGTGATATTCGACACGGGCTCCTCCAACCTCTGGGTGCCATCTGTCTACTGCGTCAGCAAAGCCTGCGGTGAGTAGGGGCTCCCCGACCGGCCGTGTCCCCCCCAGCCGGCTGCAGTGGGACCCCGGGTGACACCCCTGGGGTGGCCCCAGAGAGGCTGAGGGGGGGTCATCAGCACACACAGCCCAGGGACCTTTGGGGGGACCTCCCCACCCAGCTGAGCCCTCCAAGGTACACACGGATAACAGAAATCCAGGGTGGGGGGTGAGCGGGGGGAGCCTCAGCGCGTTTGTTTGCTCAGGCGCAGGCGGCAGTCACAGCACCAGCACCATCAGCCCGCGGGGAGATATCGCACGTGCTCTTTAGGCCATTCTTATGGGAGAGCCTTTAAACAAACAAGCAAAGATGATAGCACATAATATAGCCTGTCAGCAAGGGGCTGGGTGGCAGGAACAAGGCGGGCACAGAGAGCATGGCACGGCTCCGGGCTGGCTGCCCAGGGGCTCAGTGGGTGACAAGCACTGGGCTTGTTCGGGCTGTCGGCGCTGAGCCGGGTCCGGCGAGTCCAGCCCTGCTGCCCTGGGATGTGGAGCATCTCCGAGCAGCCCCAGGGCTCCTCGGGTTCTTCTAACAGAGCCCAAGAGGGGTTGGGAAAAATAGCTGGATGCAGCAGTGCCCGTGGGGCTGCTTCTGTCTGTAAAACAGGAACAGCAGTGCTGATCTTCAGGTCTCATAAAAATATTGCACGAGCTAATCCCGCTCCCCTTAACAAACCTTGCATCTTTCAGGCAGACTGAAACAGGGTAAGTTTTATCCCCCCTCAAAACGCCAGCATGCCCTGCTGTCTCATGAGCAGCCCTTTCCCTCAGCAGCATGCCCACGACACAGGCATTCCGGCAACGCCACGTTGCCCCATCGGTTTGCTCCGAGACCATGGCCGGAGCTCCTGGCATCCATGGCCACGCAGATAAATAGCATTTCTGCTGACAGCTCCTGTCTCCTTCCCCAGCTAAGCACACCAAGTTTCAGCCGTCACAGTCCAGCACATACCAGGCGATAGGGACCCCCTTCTCCATCCAGTATGGGACCGGCAGTCTGACGGGGGTCATCGGATCTGACCAAGTAGTCGTGAGTCACCTTTGGTTTCTCCTGCTCTGGGTGACATGCCTGGGACTTGCCTACAGACTCAGCACCACCATCAAGCCTTCTCCTCCCCACAGGTTGAGGGCCTCACCGTGAGCAACCAGCAGTTTGCAGAGAGCGTCAGTGAACCAGGAAAAACCTTCCTGGATGCCAAATTCGATGGGATCCTGGGGCTGGCTTACCCCTCGCTGACCGTGGATGGGGTCACCCCTGTCTTCGACAACATGATAGCACAAAATCTGGTGGAGCTGCCCATGTTCTCCGTCTACCTGAGCACGTATGGACACGGATTTGCTCCGGGCTTTTGCCTAGACTCAGGCATTGCTTTTAGAGGGAGCTGCTAAAATAAGGATGTTTTACTGAGATAGTAAAAGGTTTTTTTGGTACCATGCCGAGCATCGCACAGCTCAGGCCTTACAGGAATAAAGCAAATGACCTTAAGCATTTGTGGGAAGCGAGTGGGTATATATCCACCCATTTAAAATGCAATGTGCAAAGTAAAAGAGAGGAAATCCCTCACATCTCCTCCTCCCTCCAGGAATCCTGAATCCTCCGTGGGAGGAGAACTGCTTTTTGGTGGCTTCGACCCCTCTCGCTTCACGGGGACCCTGAACTGGGTGCCGGTCACCCAGCAAGGGTACTGGCAGATCCAGTTGGACAAGTGAGTGGTGCTGGGCAGGGAGGGAAGGGTTGGGCTGGAGCAGGGGAGCAGGACAAGTCCCTCCTGGTCCTTTTCTCTTTCCTCCTCCTCCAGCATCCAGCTGGATGGGACAGTGGCTTTCTGCGTGAACGGCTGCCAGGCCATCGTGGACACCGGGACGTCGCTCATCACAGGTCCCACCAAGGATATAAAAGAATTGCAAAACTATATTGGTGCCACACCTGTGGATGGAGAGGTGAGAGCGAGGGTGGGGAGAGGAGGGGGGGCAAAGCCCTGGGACCCCCATCCCGCCAGGAGGGACCTGCCGTGGACCAGCACCGCTGAGCCCCCCGGCTGTTTCGCAGTACGCCGTGGAGTGCAGCAACCTCAACGTGATGCCCGACGTGACCTTCACCATCAACGGGCTCCCCTACACGCTCAGTGCCCAGGCCTACACCCTCATGGTACGGCTGCAATTCCCAATGGCTCCGGGGACAAAGGTGGCCCAGAGCCACGCCGGGAGCTGAGCCACGAGTCCCAGCGGGTTCAAGCCCCGCTGCTTCGTGCATGGGACCTGCAGTCACCATTCCTGCATGTTTCCATGTGCATGAGGCTCTCGGGTTTGTCCCCAGCTTTGCATTTCTCCTTTCCCAGGAGTACAGCGACAACATGGCCTTCTGCACCAGTGGCTTCCAGGGGATGGACATTGCCCCTCCTGCCGGACCCCTCTGGATTTTGGGTGACGTTTTCATCCGTCAGTTTTACTCCGTCTTTGACCGTGGAAATAACAGGGTGGGGTTGGCCCCTGCCACCCCTTAGGGCTGTGGCATCCCATGGGGCAGGAGGGGAACGGAGCCGCTGGGCTGCTGCCCTCGGGCAGGGCAGGGGATTTCACCGCTGCATTGGTGTCCCTGGAGGTGATGAAGACACCTGGGGACTGGGGCTGAAGAGCCCAGCAGAAGTTCAGTCCACACCAGGAAGCCATTTAATAACGAATATAAAAATGTCTTGAGCAGGTCTGTGATCTGCTTTGCAGATTCTCTTTCTTCACACACGGGTCAATAAAAGCTTTAATAAAACAAAACCTGCCACGCTCATGTTGTAATTAGCACAGCAGCAACCCTGCAGATCTCGACTGGGTTGCACTGGAGTGTTAAATCCTCCTTGCCCAGACCCTGCCCTCCTCCCTGGTGAGCTAAAAGCCTCGGTGCAGCCACGGCACTGCCGGGGCTGCGCGCCCGATGTTACCGGAGTTTCCCTGCTCTGGAGGGAGCCTTGGTGGTGCAGGAGATGCTGGATCTGACAGGTTGGCCTCCGTGGTCCTTAGCTGGGATTTCCAGCCGGGCAGAAGAGAACACTTTGCTCGGGTAGGGCAGAAAGTCCCCAGAGCCGGCTCTGGGCATCCCTGAGCTCCCTGCTGAGCCCGAAAGGTAACGAGGAGACTGGAGAGACCCTGGGGCTCTTTCTGTGCCACAAAACTCCCGGAACAACGGGTGATTTCCAGTGAATTTTGCTTTGATCCCCCGGGGCGCTTGCAAAGACAACGTGGTTGGTGGGTGCACGAAGCGAGAGAGGCCAAACCAGCTGCCAAGTTCTGCAACCTGCGGCTGGGCTGGCTGGGAGGGTGGCAGGGGCTGGGGGGGTTGGGGGGCCGGGGGGGGGGGGGGGGGGGCCCGCGGGCCCGGGGGGTCCCCCAGGAGTCACTGCGGCGCATGTGACTTGCTGACGGTGCAAGAGATGCGGGAGAAAGCATGAGCAATCGTGGCTCATGCATGAGGCATCCCGAAACACGCATGGAAGGCAGCGAGAAAGGGAAGCACAGAGAAGGGTTATTTTTATCCGTGCCTTTGCTCAGCTTTCCTGAAGTGAGGCCCTGCAGAGGGCTGGCATCGAGGTCGAGGTGCCAGGGCCCCCGTGGCCAGGGCCAGGCTTCGTGCCTGCTGCATCTTTCCCAGACTGGAGGGTTGGGTCTGCGAGTGCTGGAAAATTCAGATCTGATTGTAAACTTTGCGGCTCAGCCTTGTCGTTTGCAATAGAAGAAGATATCTGCCTTACTCAGAAACATTGATTGTGCCACTGACCAGCATATGGTTTCTGTAACCGGTTCCTGTATTGACTTCACCTCAGCTGTGCTTTCCCCAGGCATGACACAGATAAGATGCCAGGGCAGCTGGACAAAGGTCTCCTCTCCCTCTTCCAGCTTAACTCTCAGCACGCCAAGGTGCTGCTGGGCACCAGCCCATCACTGCAGCTGTAGGCAGCAGGGGAGCAACCAGCTTCCCCAGCATGATGAGGGACCACTGGCCGGCAGCCAGAGGTGGCCCAGCCTGGACTCGATCAGGACTGCTCCGGTGCAACGTGCTCTTGGGATCCCAGAGCATGCCACATCTTCCTGGCAGGTTTTGGGGGGTCCTCTCCAGCCCTCCTCCCCACCCACGGCAGATGCTCAGGGGATGTTGCTCCAGCAAATACAGAGCATCCCAATAGGGAGCAACCCGCCTCCCGCTGTCCCCCGGGGAGCAGAGGTGGCTGAACAGCCGTAGGGAACAGTTTAGTCACTTGGATGCCTTTTAGCTTTCTTCCCCTTCCCTCACTGTCACTGCCCTGCAAGCCTTGCTGCTGGGAACAGCCCGTCCTCTCCTTGTCCACACGAGCCTTTCCTCTGGACGTGGCAGTCCCAGCCTGTGTTTCGTCGTCTCCTAGCTGCGAGATCTTCCTCATAGTCACAGGGCACAAAACCCCATGTTTTTTTCCTCAGAATTGCTGACTTGGTGAAGCAATCAGGACAGGGTTGTAGCTGTGGTTGCAGGAGCTGCTGAGCAACAATTTGGCCATCACCTCCTCTAAACCACTGCTCCCACTGCTCCCACCACCTTCATGTGGGGTGAAGCTCACACCAGGAGCTGTAAGGAGAGCAGGAGCTTTGGGAAAATACCTTTTCTTGTGAAATCAAACAAAAGCTGGAGCCGGCGCTGAGCCCGGGCTGGGCGCCCTAATGGGTATGGCCCCTCCTGCCCAGAAGCAGAAGTGGCTGCGAGCATCGGCTGTAGCAATGTGACCACAAACCCCATCTCCACCAGCGTGGAGCGGCACCAATCATCTGACCGGGTGAGCAACCTCCATCCCACCGGGCTTGGAGGGACACGCGGAGAGGAATGAGGGCAGAAGTAGTCGGGGGGGGAGGTTGGACAACAGAGTCTTGCTGCAAGGGCAAAGGTGAAGCGGCATGATGAAAATAGGCTGAAAACAGGGAGTAAGGGAAACATCAGCCTTTTACCCACCACCGGTGAGAATTGGCTCAGGTGCTTCTCCTGCCTCATCCCAGCTCCTCCCTGCGCTTGCCCTGTGGGGGGAAAAAAACAGATTTTTCTGGCCAGACAGGTCCCAAAATTACACCTGGGAAGGAGGAGGAGAAGGGCTGCCCTGCTGAGTGCAGCGATCTTCCCTGAGATCCCATAAGGGATGACTACAGAAAAAAAAAAAAAAGTCTACAAAAATGAGGCAGCCAGTGGGAAAGCAAAAGCCAGTGGTCTCAGAGGGACCCCATGCCTGGGGACGCGGGGGGGACACCCAGGTTCCCCCTGTGTCCCCAGGCGCAGGGTGCCTCTGAGGCCACCAGCTGTTGTTGTTCAGGCTGAGGGAGCCAGGAGGGTTCACAGATGGAGGGGACACCCCTCTCCCAGTGCAAACCCCAGATCCTACTGAATTCTTGGGAAAGGCTCAGGAGCTGTCCTTGCACACCGGGGAGCACAGCTCTGCCTTTGCAGCCACAGCCAAGTAGGTTTTCCCACGTCAAAGAGCTGTGGCCACCAGCCTGATGCTCAGAGAGACATCCAGAGGCTTCCTCGGTTGCTCCATGGTGGCAGCTGAGATCCCCAAAATCCCACTTGAAGTTTGAACACATCAACCTCCAGGAGCTGCCACCAGGTCTCATTACTGGGGCTCCCATCCTGACATGGTCCCCTCCTTTTGGGGTGCTTGCGGGATGCTGGCATTGACCATGGGTGTGGGGTGGGAGCCCCTAAGACTGGGCATTGCAGGGACGTGGCCCAGTGTACTGAGGGGCTGCAAACACTCCAGCTTTCCATCCTGCCCCTCTCCTGCCTGCAAAAGGAGACGAAGCCGCACAGAGCCCACAGCCCCCTCAAATGGACCCCTGCCCATCTGCTCCCCCCTCTCTGCTGGACCAAGCCCCCAGCCCAACCTCCCCTGCCACCATCCCCCACTGTTCCCAGCTCCTGAAGCCACTTATCCCATCCCACGCTATCATCTGAGCTGCCTGAGCAAAGTCCAGGGTGGCTCCCACGGGCTCCAGGGATGCTGCTGATAGCCCTGCCAGGCTTTTGTTCTCAACCCTAAGTAATTACTGGCAGGAACACAGATAAGGAGTCCTGGGGAGGTGGGTAAAAGGTACTGGGGGATCCTGAGCAAGAGAAGAGGCCAAAAGTCAATGCCAAAGCCCAGGGGATGAGGGGAGCCTTGTTCTCTTTCCTCTATCAGAGTCTGAGCAGGGGAGAGCCTGGCAGAGCCCCAGAGCCGAGGGAAACGCCGTGACATCCCAGCACCCGCCCGTGGCTCCTCCGCCGGCTCCGGCAGGATCTCGGCCCCTTTCTGCTGATGTCACGGTGCGGGGCCCCACAGCCGCCTTCCCCAGGCGGCGAGCAGGCGGGAATCAGCGCCGGAGCCGGCCGCCCTTTCCTGGATCCTCCTCTTTCATCTCTTCCGTCCCCGGGACGCAGGCTGGAAAGGAGCCGAGAGCCTTGGCCGCCCGGCAGACGGATGCCCCGGCAGGTGAGTGCACTGCCCTCCAGCCCCCGGGGCTGCGGCCGAGACCACGGCTGAGCAGGGGATCCCCAGAGCAACAGCCGGTGGGCAAAAACATTGGGAAACTCCATTTTGAGTTTAAAACCGCCTGGCCTCCGAGAAAGCTGTCCAGCGCTAGCAAAAAGACTGGAAAGTTTGTGTATGCTGAGACATGAAGCTCTGCCTGTGCCAAAGATGCTGCCCACGGCCGGGCTGGGGTGGCAGAGGGGGTGCGGGAGAGCCTGGACCCCACGGCCGAGAGCCGCCCTGGCAGGGGCGATGTGCCAAGGGGGAATGGCACAGGACTGGCCAACGCATCGGGGAAAAATGCAGAGATGAGGCTGTCAGTAAGTATTTCCATCTGCACCTTGGCCAGTGCTCTGCCTGACGCTGCCACATGGACGGGGCTGCTGAGACCACCGGAGGATGCTCGTCCCTGCCTGGGGAGGGGGTTTGCTGGAGGTGCTTGGGGCTCCTGCCTCTGGATCGCCGGGCACAGAGCACGTGGGGACACCAGGACATGTTGGGGATGCAGCCTGCGGGGAGTCTTTTGGGGTGCTCCCGGGCTGGGTGGCATCCCTGGGCTGTGCTTGGGGTACCCAGGAAAGTCCAGCTGACCATGGTCTTCTTTAATAACTGTAATTTTCCCCAGGACCCCCGGTGTGTGCCAGGTTTAGGGGGAGGGATTGCACTTTAGAGGGAGAGGGAGAGGCAGGGAAGTTAGTTGCTCACAGCAGCTTTTAATGGCGATGATTTGGTGTGGTGCGGTGGCGTGTCTGGACGTGCACCGGCACCTTGGGAGCCGGTCCCGGGCGGTGACGTGGGCCGGGCTCAGCACGGGGGTTTCTGCCCCCACCACCGCCAGGACGTGAGTGCATCTGGGTCCTGGCATGGCACGGACACGGTGCTGGCACGGTGAGGACACGGCAGCATCCAGGGCCCCAGCACGGCTGGGGTGGGAGTGGGGAGAGGCCGTGGGGAGCAGCGGCTGCTCCCACACCTCCACCAGTGCCGCA